TAAGAGTAATCGTAATAGAGTACGTTATTTTTCACTGCTTTTACCATCGCTGTGAAAATGTATTTCATGAAAACACCTGTCAATATGTTTTTGTGTATAAGCTTGGTAAACACGAAATATCCTGTGAAATAATAGATTTAGTTTAAAAAGAAAAAAAAAACAATTGCTTTACTGTTCTACATAGATATCTTAGATACTTAACATAACGTTAAGTTTTTATCCTCATTTCAGTCAGTATTTGAGTGCATTTGCACGTATAAAAAAAATCCTTATAGAATGATTTATGAATAGAACAGGGGTCGCAGCGACCTTTGTCTGAAAATCAGGAAAATAGGCAAGACACATTTTAGAAAAAAATCAGGAATTTCGATTAAAATCAGGACATTTTAAGTCTTATCATAGTACTATTGTTCAGGATGAAAGCTGCACAAAAGTATGTCAATCAGTGATAGTTCATTGAAATTACTATATATTTCGTCGAATATGTGCTTCGAGTTCTGCGTTTTTCCTTTTCGTTCGCTATCTCTAATTATGCATTGTGTATACGTTTTCTTTTTCTCAGATACGTGGCCTACGGAAGGTGGCATCCTTTACTATTGGAGTCTTATTTGTTTCTAGTCGAAATTGCATTTTTATCAGGAAAATAGCCGTGAAAAGAAATAAGAAAAATCCGCATTTTCGCAGTTTTTAAGGTTCTATAACCATCTTTTCGGCACTAAAGCCATTTCCCTGCATCACACTTCCTTTCCCTCTCTGCTACTTTTCCTCTTCTCCATATTCCTGCTCTTCGCATATATAAAACAACCATGTTATAGATAAATGAATAAAAGCGTTTACAAGAAAACTTTAGTAAATCGACTAAAATGTTAAAATAAGGGAATAAAAGATTTAATGCAGCTACGCACGGTCGTGAATTGTGTGATATAATTACCGCCGAAGTACTGGTGATAATTACTAATGATAAAATAGCTTCTTTCAAAAACCAATTAATTCGAAATAATCGATTCTTAAAGTGATTACAAGAAAGAAAATGTACAAAATAAAAATTTGAGTACCATCTGTCTTTTTATAGAAAATATTCAACAAGTATTTTCATAAAATTTTTAAGAAACATTGAGTATAACAAAATAAAACATCAAAATGACGTATATGTGGTCCTACAGAGATAAATCTTGAGAAATCAGGACAAAATCAGGATTTTCAGTCAAAAGCAGGAAAATCAGGGCACCTTAAAAAAATCAGGAAAAAATTAGGAAAGTACACACGTTGCGAGGCCTGATAGAAGCCAAATAAAACAAAACTTGAGATTAATATCATTAATGTTTTCAATAATTTAATTAAAAAAATTTATGCATTCTGATAATTATTTTGTATTTTATTTTAATTGTAAAAGTTCTATTATTCCATTGTGATAGAATCATAGATTCATTTTCTAGTTCATTTGAAAATAAGATTGAAAAATAATAAAATGTTTTACAGTATGAATGACGTGAAAAATCTGATTTATTTTTTTTACAAGATAATTACCAAAAGCGACGAAGACAAATTTTTTAAATGATATTATCAGTTGTATTCAATTGGTCTTATTTCCTAAGTATACTTGAATCAAATTTAGATAATTAAGCAAAGATGGACACGTCAAGTTAAATTTTTTGTTCTAATATGATACTTGAACATATTAATTAGTCAATAACAATACTGGACGTAATGATATTACTAATTATCTTATTGATGATGATAATCATTCGGATAGATTGATTTTTCATTCATCAATTGATTAAATACAAATAATTGAACAACTTGACAAGGAAGGTTTTAATAATGTCTACAAAATCATTACCTGTAGAAAGAATATTTTCTTAAAGTACTTTGTTTTATTTCGACAACCTAGAACGAAAATATAAAAAAAAGATATTTCAGACGTCAACCATGCTAAAATGTAATTAGAGGCTGATATAAAACTTTTTCAGTAAATTAAGACTTGACTTAAGTGGAACTTTTATTAGAACTGACTTTATTTAACTTGTGTCAGAAAAACAGCTGACTTGCACATCTCTGTAATGAAGTGTATCCATTTTTCATATCTCAACATCAGTAGAGGAGCGTATCGAGGTCGAATCATTTCATTAGAAATAAAACAACTTAAATATTCATATAACTTGTGTTTACATTTAAACATTAATCGTTTATTAATATTAATATTGCTAAAAAAAAAATTAATTCTCTATGATAGTTAAATGCATAATATCAATCGAATCAATCTTTGACATGATTTATTTTTATGGAAAAGAAAAAATAACTAATCAATTAAATTATTTGAATTGAATCTTGAATAATTTTCATATCGCGAAATGTAGAATATTGATCAAGGTATTTTTATTTTAAATTTTCGAAAGATTCCTGTAAGTAAAGTCACCAACAAGTCTAGCAATTCTTTTCGAAAGAAAAAATGCTTTATATGTGGTTGTTAACTTTCAATAGTTTACATGCTCAGTTCACTCTACTAATGATAATAATATAAATTTTATTTTATGTCAATTATATTTATCATCGTAGTTTTATTAAAAACAGTCCCAATGATATTAGTATAGCTTAAAACTCACACTTACCTCTCCATAGAATTTAATAGAATTCCTTCAGGAGTACAATACGACATACAATAGAATTCTATTGATCTGAGACAAGAATGTCGTTTAGGAAAATTCATGACATTTGATATATTAAAGAACTATTTCGAAATTAAAACACAAAAGAAAACACAATTGTTAATCAAAACTTAAAAACCATTGACTAGAATCTGACGGAATATTTGATATCAGCAATATAAATTTATGAATAATCAAAGATGTTCATACATTGTTTTTTAAAATAATTTTATTAAAACAAATAAACTATTTTTTTTATGATGAAACAAAACTTTATCTATGGATCTAAAGATAACATTATGCTTTTTTCTAAATGATTTTATTTCATTGATTACAATTAATAATCTTTGACAAATTCAAGTTTACCTAATGTTATATATTTGTTACCTATTGTAATCATTCCAATTTTTCTACTGTTTTAAGTGTTATAATATTCATTATACTTTTGCAATGAATTGAAAATGAAATGTTACATCTTATAGTCGTTGCATTATTTTTTAATTTTTAGTTGTGTAATCGAGACACTTAATAAGTGTCTGGAAATTTTCGCCTTGATTTTTCAAAAATAATTGACCTTATGATGTCACAAAGACCTTGTTTCTTTGATGGCAAAAAAGCTGTCAAGTATTTAAAATGTCTCATATAAACATAAACTTGAATATTTACCACTTACTCTAAATATAAATCATACAAATGTCAATAACTATAAGTCCAACTTAATATTAAATTCCTAATAAATTCCATCAAGATAAAATATTTTATAGGAAAAAGAAAAAGTGATCTTAAAGCATAGTTTCGTATGCGACATATATTTCAGAAAATGTTTTCTTCAGTATGAAAATATGTCCGAGTACGAAAGGTACTTGTTATAAAGATTCAAATGAATGAGTAGTTCTAATTATTTTGTCAGAAGATACAGAATTTAATTTTTTGATAAACCTGTTGTTAGGTTTAATTTATGAAGATAGAATAATACAAGTTTTATAGATGATAGTACTTAATTCAGTGAATGGTATCTACTTTCGACATAATTTAAAGTGATGTGGTTTGTTTGTATAAAAGGCATCATATTCACAAGAAGTATTGTACAAATAACATCAATAATCAAATCAAATTAATTTTTTGAAGAATTTTCTAGACAATTGATCTTTTTTTTATTGTATAGAGCTAAAATAGAGTTTGATAAAAACAAATCAATTGAACAAGTTAGAATAGCGTAGAAAAAAAAGAGAAATAATTTTAAATGTAGATATACCAGTTTTGTTAAGCTAATATAGATTTTTATTAAACATTAACAGAGAAATTTGAAAGTGCATTTAACATGGAAACGAGTTATAAATACGATGCCTATTAAATATTTATTTAAAATATGAAAAGTATCATAAAAAAAAACAGCTTATGTAGGAAGTAAATGCCATTCACTGAAATCCATAACATTGTTTATAAAGTCATTTTTTGTTTTATTATTTTAAAATTAAAACTAATAGGAAATTATAAATAATTAAATTGTTTCATTTTCTGATAGAAAAGTAGGAATAATACATACGTAAATTATTTTTTCTTCGAATATTTGCAAAAGAAATAACGTATCAAAATTTCTACCAGATCTGGTACATCATTAAATGAGAAAATACATTATTTATTTTAAATCAGAATCGATCCTAATTTACACATACAAAAACAAAATAAATCTAAAAACAGCAATGACAAAAAAAATATAATTTAGTTTTTTTTTTTTCTATGTTAAATGTAAAACTGATTGCATCATCATATGTAATTGATCAACCTGAACTGAACATTCGACTATACCATAAATTTCACTGGTTACATTTTGTAAATGCAGAAATGTTGTCACTATTTTCATATATGTTAATACAGCTTGCTCTTCTTGATCAAGACATTTTTCAAGAATATAATACCATAACAATTGTGTATATTCATCATATGCATATTGTATCAATTGTCTTGAATGATTGTTAATATAACCGGCATCATATAATGATTCATTTGTAAATAAACATGGACAAAAAAGAAAAATAACAATTAAAAGTATTAATAATTTATTATCATCTAATGCAATATCTTCAAACAATGAACTAGCATATGCAATTTTATTATTAATATAATTTGGACCAGGATGATTAACAAGAATTTTTATATCAAAAGTTGTATTTAATAAATGTGTTAAAAGAGGTAAAAGAATTTTAATATTATTTTTTAAAAGAATAAGTCTATCATCAACAGGTAATTGTTGAAATTGAGATAATTGTTTAAAAAACATAATTAAACATGATATTGGTGTACAATATGAATTAAGAACATTTGTTAAATCATAATCATATTTAAATATAAAATCTTCTGGAATTATTTGTTGTGAACTTTCAATAAATAAATCAAATATTAAATCAATATAACGTAAATGACTATTTGAAAATAAATATGATGTTGAACAAAAATCTTGATGATGATGTTCTCCAAGAATTCTCTAGCAAAAAAAAAAAGAATTAAATAAACAAATAAATTATTTTTGTTTGTTTGAAAATCTTTAATTCAACATACTAATCGAGTTTCTTCTTGTTGTTGTTGATATTTTTTAAATTTTTGTCGTCGATTTTCTAGAACTAATGCACGATGACGTTGGTTTTGTTCTTCTGTTCGTATACGTTCTTTAATCATTCCCATAGCAAAACATTTTCTTAAACGACATGCTGTACATTGACGACGTGAACGTTCATCAATTTTACATTCACCAGATAAACGACAAATAAATTGTTCCTAAACAAAAAGAATATATTATATTTATAATTTCAAACAAAAAAAAAAAAATCTTTCTTTTAATAACATCTATTGTCAAACTAGACAGACTATTTTTGTTTTTGTTCTATAAATTTGCATGTAAAATGATACATCATAGCAGTGACGTATCCAGGATTTTTCAGTATGTTGAATCTCGATTTCTG